TGCGCCACCACACCCAGCCCTTCAAGTTTTGAAGGAAAATTATTTCCAAGTAATTGATTCTAGAGTCAGTTAAACTATCAGTCAAAAAAAACCCCAAAACTATCAGTCAAGTGAGACAGACAAGTGAAGACATTTTCACTCCTGTAAAGTCTCCAAGCTGGGCCGGGGATATAGCTCAGCAGCACCGCACCTGCAAAAGATGAAGCTGATATGGTCATCACAGGCAGGAGGATCACAAGTTCAAAGCCATCCTGGGCAACTTAGTGAGACTCTTTCTCAGCACACACAAAACTGAAAAGGACTGGGGGAGGTAGCTCAGTGGTATAGCACTTGTCTAGCATGCCCTAGGCCCTGCGATCAATCCCCAGCACTGCAGAAAGGAAGGAAAGATGCAACAAAGGAGTAAGTCACAACCAAGCAAAATGTGGGATGCAGGCAACAAAGGATCCAGCAAGAGGGGCCAACAGAATCCCTAGAATGGTAGTAAAGAAATACTCCGATATATTGCCGATCTGCTAGGGAAAGATGGCACATGGGCCAGATTGAAAGAAGCCCCAAAGCACAAGTCTTCTTAAGAACTAAATTCATGGAGCACTTGATTCATGTAAACGTATTAAGAGATTTAGGCAGTTACTGACTTTGAGGTTGAATTAGTGACAATATAGAGAGAACAAAGCAAACATAAGAAACTATGTAATGAGTAATCCTAAACAAAATAAGGTACAAAAGACTAAGTATCCTAGTTACTTACATGGCTCAGCTGTGAACAGTATTTGCATAGACCTTATTACTTCTGTATATATAATAAATAATTATGTACATAATATGCATCTAACAAAAATTACAATATAGCTGTATTGGAAGGATGGGGGATGGGAAGGATACCGTGTGTTCTGGGGCATGCGGTGGGAGCATGAAAGAGATCTAAATCTTTGTCTTTCATAGTAGAGTTCCATGCATAATGTCAAAACTGACAAATCTTTAAATAACTGCAATATTATCTAGATAAATAAAAATAAATACCAAAATTCCTAGATAAGAGGATATGCAGTAGGAATCACTATTTTTCCTAACTAGCCTTCTGAAACTATCGGGCTCTTTCAACTCTAAGCATATGTAATTTTGACAAGACTAGAAGCAAGCCAGGCACGGTGACTCATGCCTGCAATCCCAGCACTCTGAAAGTCTGAGGCAGGAGGGTTGCAAGTTTCACCCTGACCTGGGAAGCCCATATAGCCCAGTGTAAAAGCCATAAGCTCAATCCTAATACTATAGTAAAAAAAAAAAAAAAAAAAAAAAAAAAAAAAAGTAAAGACGTTTGCATTGGTTCTGTGGAAGATTAAAAAAATGAACAATATATGGCCCTTCCCAAGGTGGAAGAAGACGCAGTTAGTGGGGGTAAGGGTGAATATAACACGTCCGCTAAGAGGTTAAACCAGAAAGCGACGTGAACTCAGAGGAGACAGTGGTTACAGGCTTTGGAAACAAGTATTTCTTTTGTCTGAGAAGGGAAGTATAGTCTGACTTAATGCAGCATGTACTATAAGCGGGATGCTCTAAGGAATGGAGCTGGGGAGGGAAGTTGAGGACAGACTCCTGGATGACCTTGAACATCACACTGAAGCTCTCAGAATGCAAGGGGAAATTGTCAGTTTTTTGAGCAAGGGCGTGATGTAATCTGAGTTGTAATTCGGAAAGATCTCCGGCAGCAATACGTGAGTTGGACAGGATAGAGTGGAAAAGAAGGCAAGAGCAGAGCTAGGAGGCCCTGACCTTGTGCAGGGTTGGTAAAAAGTGAGAGGTAGGGATGGAGAGGAGATATTTCAGAAACCACAGTTAAACCTGCTGCTAATAACTTCTTAATTTGCTTCCACTTTTTCTTCTGCTAGAAATTCTTAAGGAGGACTGTAGCTTTAATTGGCCGATACAAGGAGGCCAGGAGCCAAGTAAACCACATTGACTTGTAGTTTATTTTTTAAAAGGCCAACTAGTTAATAAGCCTTAGAACATCCTGATCTTGGTACAGATGCTTGATGTACTTACACTTTATAACATTTCAGTTTGTTTTTTTTTTAAGTCTGTTGCTATACTTTGACCAAGGGCTTCAAAGAGAAATTATATTTTACTTTCATCATCTCAGTATTCTTGTGAGCCAAATGATCCGTTAAATACCCTAAGAAATAATATAATGGCACAATTGATCCTGGGTCACCACTACAGGGACCACATAGCAAGTCACACTGACTTCTCTCTACCCATTATTCAACTTAATATTTAATCACCCACTCAGAATTATACAGTGATTTCCCAATGCTTGCACTCCACACAGTACAAATTTTCTGTTTGACATTCAAGGCCTCCAAGATCCCATTCACTTGTGCACCTTTACCTTCAGTGGTCTCTAGATAAACCTCCACTCTAGCCTGGTGGAGCTCTTTAGGAACTCCCAACATGTACGTTCACACTGCAGTGTTTAGGTTTCAGAGTATTTTACCTTTATTCAGACATTCTTCCTTGCCTGTTAGGGCTGCTCTGATCCTGCCTTTTCTATTATCCCCTATCCCGGGTACCTAAAGAAAGTTAATCTCTGTATTTGCTACAGCTACCCAGCATTGAGAGTGTGCACTGCATCATTTGACATTGAATTATCTGCTTCGTTTTAACATGTGCTGGCTCTTTCCTTTCCAGACCGACTGCGTTAGCTGAGGTTAATGCTCTCATGGACTCCCCCTGGTTCCCTCAGCCTTTAATCTCTGCATTAATCAGGGTTGATTTGGGTTCAAGTGGCAGACACCGAAATCAAACTAGCATAAGCAAAAAAAAAAAAAAAAAAAAAAAGGAGGTGGGATTAATTTACCGAATGCAAATAAAGAATCCATAAGTAGAGGAGGTTTACAAGCATATTTGAACCTAGGTGTTTAAACATCATTACAAACTGACCTTTTTCCACCCCTGCTTTCCTCTAAGAGAATCAAGCAGCCTTCCCAAATATTAGAAAAGATAGTCAAGTAGCAACTCAGAACTTAAGTTTGAATAGATTACAGTGAACCCAGCGAAGAAAATGTACACATTTCCATGATTCCAGAAAAGACCCAAGTCAGACCCTCCTTGGCTTGGAGAGAGTCACATACTGGGTGCTGACCTAACCAGAGCCCCTCTGATTCATTAGGAACTGGGGGACAGAGTTTGCCGCAAATAGGTGCAAACCAAGAATGGTGCAGGGTCTGGTGAATGATTTTCCAGAGGAAAATCAAAACATTGCTGTCCAAGGAGGAGGAAATTATTCCGGGCAGGCAAAAATAGCAGAGGTCTGCTGTACACGTTCCATCTCCCACGTTATTCAGAACATTATAGAATCTTTTACAAATACCTCAGTAAGATTCATGTTGCAATTATTTTTTGAAGGACTGTAATGAAAGCATGCCTGGGCAAACACAACACCTAAATGCGTAGCGTTGTCTTCTGTTGTCCCTATGTAAGCATTGGGAGTTGTACCAAGTGTAATTTATGTTAAAATAATGCCACATCATCCTCCTTAGTCTTTGACTCAGACAGACCTAAAGAGGAGTAATTAACATGGTAGAAAGCATCTTAATTAAATGAAGAATTTTGTTATTTCCTGTGCCATTAGACATTGATAAACCCTAAGAATAAAAACTTTCATATTATGGAGAATTCAAAACTAGAAAACACGCTTGGTGATGTCATAATTACTACAGATATAAAAACTAGTAACGATGTAGCCTCAGCGTCCACTCACCACTAGGGTGAGAGACAGCATTCTACCTGTCTTCCTCAGATGGTGTCCGAATCCCCGTCCCGGCTTCACCTTGTAAGGTCAGATCCAGACTGGAGTGTGACTTTGGTGCCTGTCACCATGACAAAGGGGGAGACGCCAGCGGTGGAGGGAAGGCTGGCACCTGGGGGAGGTAAACGGACGCAGTTTCAAGGCACGTGTTGAGAGCCGCCTGTGAACTACAGAGAAACTGGAATCGAAAGTTCATTTTGACTGAAGCTATCGCTTTTCTCAAGAGAAAAATATAAATAAATACATTTACTATTTATAAATATAGCATTTATATAAATAAAGTATTGCATTATATTTCTCTAGAAGACAGAAACAAGATGATTTGCTGGGGAGTGGCCAAAGGGCTCCATTACATGCTTGCAGCACGTTTGCTGACTGGATAAACAACCAAAGGTATTATTAAAACCAGTTCACAAACTTGTGTCAATTTGGCATGGGGTAGGGCTAGGTATATATTTTTTAAACCCCAGATTAAATGTTTTTATTAATGACATACATGGTGGAAAAAATCTGTTCATTTTTAATTAAACTAGAGATGAAAGTAGGGAGAGAACAAAGACAAAAACTTAAGAGCTGTGAAATTAGAGAGACCCAAGGTCAGTGTTGCACCCCGTACCAGGCACGGTAAAACTGCATTCGCCCCACGCCCCCATTCCCTGTGCATAAAAATAGGGATAATAACAATACAGACTAGGTGTGGTGGTGCATGTCTGTAATCCCAGCCCTCTGGGAGGCTGAGACAGGATGATCAAACATTCAAGCCCAACCTAGGCAACTCAGTGACTGACTGAGACTCTGCAAAAATAAAAACTAAAGGGCTGGGGTCCAAGTGAAACACCACAAGTGCAAAGGCCTTGGGTTCAGTCCCCAGTACCACCACCACCATAAAAACCCCCATGGTATAAAATTCATAAGTTGTTCTAACATTCTATAAGTTGTTGAAAGGATTAAGCACTTAGGCATGAGAAAATGCATACAAGATATTTACCACACCTGGAATATAATAAGTAATGATTAATTGTTGGTCTCTGTTAAAACCTTATTGTTGTTATTAATTCTTCAGGTGCGTCATTTGAAGGAAAGGGTGAATCCTCCGAATGTCTTTAGTTTGTGGAAACAGGATTAGAAACAAACTCTTGGGTTCAAAGGTTCAAAGGGTCCAACAACTTGAGGGCAGAAATCAGGACAGGTCTGACTGAAATTGCTTTTGGCTTTTTGGTGGTGCTGGGGATCAAACTGAGGGCCTCCTCCATGTGACTCTTGTGTTTATGAGGCAGGCATGAGAATTTTAGAAATAATCTATAATTTCTAGGAAAGGAGAGAGAGCGTGATGACGCCTAGCTCCCTCAGCGACCACCGTGCCTGGGTGAAGTATCCTACCTGAATCCGGAACCCTGGAAATTGCTGGTCAGGACCTTCACCTCAGTTTTTCAGTTGCTGCTGCTCTCTGAGTTCTGTGTGAGTATGAGGGCACCATGTATGTTTGGTTACAGAGTATGTTTGGTTAGCAAATTCAGATAACTGAATGTATACTCGGTTTTCAATTTTAAAATAGGGACTCTGATTGAGCTATCTATGTAATTCAATAGCGTACAATGGCTTGAGTATTACAGTTGTACCTGAGCATCAGCAAGAAACTTGTTCCAGGGCTGGGGATTTAGCTCAGCGGCACAGTGCCTGCCTGGCAAGTGTGAGGTAGTGAGTTCGATTCCCAGTACAGGAAAAACAAAACAACAAAAAAAAAAGAAACTTGTTCCAGGATTGGTTCCTATGGATACCAAAGTCTACAGATGCTCAAACCCCTTCTATAAAACTGCATAGTATTTGCATATAACTTGTGAATATCTTCCAGCATACTTTTAATCATCTCTAGATGACATATAATACCTAACAGATAAATGCCATGTAAATACTTGTTATACTGTATTGTTCAGAGAATATTGACAAGAAAAAACTCTGTACATGCTCAGTCCAGACCCAATTTTTATTTTTTAAGGATATTTTCAATTGGTGGCTGGTTGACTCCGAGGATATAGGCGCTGTAGGTACAGATAGCCGACTGCACTCCAGCCATAGGAAGGGAAATTGCATTACTCTTTAAACAAAAGATGTCCTCTATAAGTACGAAGCAATTAAATTTTAGCTAAAATTATTGGGAAATGGAAATCTAAAAGAGAGAATGGGTTAAAAAAGACTAATATTGTAAAACAAAAATAGATTATAAAGAAATAACAGGTTGGAATGCATAAAATTGGTTAGAGGAAGGCACCAAAGCAACCTTAGCAGTACTCTGCTGAGCCTGACTTTTTGTCATTGTGCTGCCGAAGCGAGCACAAGCCTGACTTTTTGAAAAGGAATGGCAAGATTGAGAGTTGGGAAGGAGCGCATGAGTCTTTAGCTCTCCATATCAAAGAGAAACCAGGATTTTAAACCCACAGCCTGAAATTCTCCCGGGACTCTCTACCTACCATAATTACTAAAGGTGTCACCAGACTGACCTCATGCTACAATGTTAGGCTAGGGGTGTGAAACAAAACAAAATTTTACTTTTTCAACATCCTTTAAATAGGTGTCACTTCCCTTAATAGCACCGCTGTGCTTGATCAAGGAGGAAGGGACACCCAAATCCTCATGCACAACCTGTACCAAAGTCCCAGCAAGTATTCCCGAGACTACACGTTCTTTTTCCTCTAAAATTCTGTAACTTGTTAAAAGTTCTATGGATTTTTTTCTTCTTACTTAGGTGGCTTTAAATTACTTTTTATTTCTTCTTCACTAGAGATATTAAATACTTATTAGAAGTTCTTTAGATTTTTGTTTTGGGGATACATAATTTAAAATTCTAAATTTAAGTTTCTTATAATCAGAACAAAACAGTTCCCTTTAATTTGCTTGTCATTTAGTTTCCAAGTACTTATTTTTTCCTGTTATAACGGACTATCAGAGCTTAGTTCAGGATAAACACAATGAGAAGAAAAAATATTTGGTTATCAAACTTGAAGTTGAACATTTCCTTGGGGGTAAAATAAGGATGAAAAATAAGTAATACATGTCCGTAACTCTGGCCATAGTTTAAATAAAAGATATTTTCAATCTTCAGTTAAATTTTTGTCTAATCTCCAACATTTCTTAAATAAAGCAAACTTCCTAGAGGATAAAAGAAATTATAAGGGAAGCTCTGTGAAATGAGTTAACCAGTGTCAGTTACACTTATGTTAAATTTTTTTAAGATAATAGCTACAGTCATAAACTAACCCGCTCATCAATCAGTATAGCACCTCTCTGGGCCATAAGAGATCGCCTACTTTCTTCGCTGTGGTCATCGGTCCTTTAGCATTTAGTGCGTGTTGGCATTTCAAGGCGCTGCTCCTAAATTATATCCATCAGCCTCAACTTTCATCACTTCCCCTGGTAGTGTGAGCAGAGGACTAACAGCTCTTGAGGGTTGTTTAGGTTCCAGAGAGAGTTGTTTAGGACGCTCACCTCCCTCACAGTGAGAATTGAACACCCTGCGAGACCGCAGCTTTACTACAAACTGTCATAGGCAATAATAAACATAGATAATCAGTGTGTAGAACACAGATAGCTAGTAGGGACTCCTTTTCATCGCTAAAAGGGGTAACTAACTTCTCTGGATAATGTTGAGAACTACTTTCTAAGTTTAAGGATACAATTTAAAGACAATCTAGAAAGTACTTTCCAAGGTTGTCCCCCTGGCTCAGACAGATCCTCCATGTTGAACTGCATTTATGAAAATGACAGAGGATGCTAAAGGTCCAAATCCGCCAGACATTCAAAGATTGTAATTGACTCTTATGAGAAGCTATTTGAGAATATTTGGGAGAAAGAACATAAAAGGAAGTATCGGATGGTTAAAAGCAAATGAACAAACTTAAATTGGTCCAGAAAGAACTGGGTGTGAGTCCTGAATTCTTGCATACTAGTTGTATGCCTTTGGGTAGTTACTTAGCATTACTAACCTCAGTTTCCTCAGCTATAAAACAAGAGAAAAACACCCATTTGGTAGGTCTGATGTGAAGATCAAATAAGTTAAATGGGAAAGCACAGAAAGTGCACAATTCAGCCTCTGACAGAATATATTCAATAAATTAAAGCATATTAAAGGAGGCCAGATATGGTATGCATACCCATAATCCAGTACTCAGGAGGCTGAGGCAGGAGAATCATGAGATCCAGGTCAGCCTGGGCTATAAGAGTGAGTTCAAGGCTCGCCTGGACTACAGTGAAATCCCATCTCAAAAAATAAAATGAAGTGAAATGAAAAAAAAAAAAAAAACAAACCAATTAGGAAGAAATACATAAGACATGATTCCTATTTATAATGTAGTGACCATGAAGTTGTTTCCTACCTCTTTTATCCATTCTTGGAAAAAAAATATGTTTAAAATAAGGATGGAAACTTTTTAAGTCATTTTGCACAAATCTTAGGGGAAAAATTCATTTGGAAGCAAAAACTTCTATTTGTTAAATGTGGGACCTAAGTATTATTTTTAGACAGTTATGTGTGCTTAATGTTCCCTCTCTGTGCTAAACAGGAGGTGAAAGAACATATCAAATCAAAGAACACACTGAAAAATAACTAGAAGCAAAAGATCCTGAGATACCAGGAAAATTGAAGATACCAAGAACACTCCATTCCAGTCCTACTCAGTTATTCTGTTACATCCTGTGATGAAACACAAATGCTGTTTCATGTAAGACTAGAGGTTATCTGCTGAATAGAGCTAAAAATAAATTTCCAGGACAATTAAATGTATGGATCTGCCGTACACAGTATTCAGTACGTTTTGTGGGAGAAATTACTTCTTAATATGAGCAAGAAAACATTGTTCTGCTTCTAATTCAATCATTGAATCACCTTGGAAACAGGGAGTTATCAAATAAACATCCTCCAACAAGATGAACTGCAAAGGGGCTATACTGATTAAAATAAGAAAATGAAATTTTCAATTATTTGCAAAAGATGCATTCACATATAACAAAAAGGATTATTGCCGCAGGAGGAATGCTTTCAAGACTCAGTGTTCTTTCAACTAATATAAATAACCCCATTTTGGCAGTTCCGAACATTTAGAATCCAACCAAGAAAAG